GCTTGCACTTGTTTACAGCATCCCAGACAGGAAAATGCATTCAATCAGAAACCACGCTGAGCTATTTCAAAAGGAATTCAGGGCACACCTGGTTCTGTCACTTCATTCAGATCCCAGCCTCTGGCTCACATGATAAAATAATCTAGTTCTGTAGATGGATAAAACATAGTGAAACTCCTATCTTCTTAACAGCCTAGAGCAGGCCTGGGCAAAATACGGCCCATGGGCCTGATCGGGCCCACCAAGCCACTGGATCTGGTCCACAGAGGCAGCAGGGAGCCCCAGGCAGGCTCCCCAGCTCGCCACATGTGCCATGCAGAAACGTGGTTACAGGGCTCCATTTCTTTTTTAAAACTGGAGGGGAGGAAGGAAGTTTTAGGAGCTGCCCTGCCCCCAGCACATTCCCATTGTCTGGTTTCTGGCAGACCCCAGCCAATGGGAGCTGCTTGTTAGAATAACAGGCAGCCAAGAAGAACCACGCCCCCTCTCCTCTCAGTTATTCATGAAGCATATGGCCAGACAAGCAAGCTGGCTGGCTGGGAAAGATTTTAAGGCAGGCAGGCTAATTTGGCAGCTGGCAAGTAAGTCTCTTGGGCACAGCCTGCTTCTGGCACCCCAGCCCTTTCCTGCCCCAACTCCCTGCACCCCCACTCAACATACCCAAACCCTCTGGCACCCCAATCTCCTGCCCCAGATCACAATCCCCTCCTACCCTAGGTCACATCCCAAACCCCTACACTCCAGTTCTCAGCCCTATGTCACAACTGCCTGCTTCCTCCTAACTCCCTCCCAGACTCCAGTCTCCCTCCTACACCCTAGCCACTTACCCCAAGCTGCCTTCTGCACTTGCCCTGCATCACCTCCATTAATATCATGGAAGAGTGTGGCCCTTGACCACTTTCCAAAATCTTGGAGTGCCCCCCCCCCCCCCCCCCATTATTGCCCGCCCCTGCTCTAAACCTCTAATTGCTGAGGTTGGAAATGGACAACAGTGGATTGCAGCTTCCAAAAGTGAGAGAAAAACTCTAGTCTTAATATTGCTCTGGATCATCTAAACTTGCAATCCTTTTCTCGATATTATTATATTATTTTGTGATTAAAAAGGCACTTTCATAACAGCAATGTTTTCTGTTACATGAACATAACAGCCGGACTGGGTCAGACCAAAAATCCACCTAGCCCAGTACCTTGTCTGCTGACAGTGGCCAATGCCAGGTGCCCCAGAGGGAGTGAACGGAACAGGTAATTAAGTGATCCCTCTCCTGTCATCCATTTCCGGCCTCTGACATTTCCTACCCACCCAGGCTAATAGCTATTGATGGACCTATCCTGCATGAATCTATCTAGCTCTTTTTTGAACCCTGTTAAAATCCTAGCCTTCACCACATCCTCTGGCAAGGAGTTCCACAGGCTGACTGTGCACTGTGTGAAGAAAAATTTCCTTTTGTTTTAAACCTGCTGCCTATTAATTTAATTTGGTTACCCCTAGTTTTTATATTGTGGGAATAAGTAAATAACTTTTCCTTATTCACTTTATCCACGCCAGTCATGATTTTATAGACCTCTATCATGTTCCCCCCTTAGTCTCCTCTTTTCTAAGATGAAAAGTCCTTGTCTTTTTAATCTCTCTTCATATGGGACCTGTTCCAAACCCTAATTGTTTTTGTTGCCTTTTTCTGAACCTTTTCCAATGCCAGCAATCTATTTTGAGATGAGGCAACTACATCTGTATGCAGTATTCAAGATGTGGGTGTACAATGGTTTTATATAGAGGCAATAAGATATTCTCTGTCTTATTCTCTCTCCCTTTTTAAATGATTCCTGGCATTCTATTTGCTTTTTTGACTTCTGCTGCACAGTGAGTGGATGTTTTCAGAAAACTCCAAAATGGGTCCAAGATCTCTCTCTTGAGTAGTTGTAGCCAAATTAGTCCCCATCGTAATGTATGTATAGTTGGAATTATTTTTAACAATATGCATTGCTTTACATTTTTCAACATTAAATTTCATTTGCCGTTTTGTTGCCCAATCTCTTAGTTTTATGAGATCTTTTTGAAGTTCTTCAGAGTCTGCTTTGCTCTTAACTATCTCGAGCGGCTTGGTATCATCTGTACATTTTGCCACCTCACTGTTTACCCCTTTGTCTAGATCATTTATAAATAAATTGAATAGGATTGGTCCCAGGACAGAGACTCAGGGGACCCCACTAGTTACCTCTCTCAAATCTGAAAACTTACCATTTATTCCTACCCTTTGTTTCCTGTCTTTTAACCAGTTCTCAGTCCATGAAAGGACCTTCCCTGACAACTTACTTAAGATTTTGTTTATGTTGGGTTAGATGGCTGTGGGATAAGGAGATGTTTACCTCCTTTCCCTTTTGAAAGCCATGGACATGTGGCTGTGGTGGAGTCCCTACTCAGGCCCCTGGGTCTGGGACACCTTCTGGTCCACAAATCAGCCAGACACACTTCTGGTGCAGTCACCTGTGCTTTTATTGTCAGTTCCCACCACCTTCTATGTACAAAGCTTGCAATCCATTCAGCCAGCTCCTCCGTCTGCCTGGGAGCACACTGAGCCACACGCTCTTTGCTCCTCCTTACCGCCTCATGGCTTCCTTCCTCTGCCTTATGTAGCCCTCTCCCAGTGAGGCCCACTGCTGGTTCTAATAGCCCTTCAGGGGGCTTGCTCAGCTGTTTCCCCTAAGCCTCTTCAGCCAGGCTATAGTGGCAGAGCTCTGGCTTAGCCAGCAGTCTGTCACAGTGGCCTATATGGAATGAGTTGATGATTCTTATTTCAATTCCAACATAGAAGGTTGGATGTTCACATCACAGACACAATCGACACAACAGTGACTAATTGGCCTCCTGTAGAGAGATGAAAAATTGAATAGGCCATGGACTCTGAACTACCTTCCTAACCTCTAGGTCAGCACTGGGGCACTTTGGAAGAGTAGTAAAGCTTAGGAAGTAATCCTGTTAGGACCTGAATGACCTGTGGTCCTTATGGAGTGAGTGGACTTTGACAGTGCTCAGCACCTTAAATATAGGTATCTTGCATAGTTGCTGCCGGGATGATACTTCCTATACAGACAAAAGTTTGGGGATGGAGTTGGGGAAACACTTCCTTAAATGACTTCTGCAAATGAAGAAGGGACAGAAGCATTTTATGAAAGCTTGTGGAACTCAGATACTGCAGTGATATAGGCCATGTATACTTAACATAAATATACATGAGAAGAGAGGCAGTTTTGATTTCAGGGCTATCAGTCACCACTGTATTCCCTTTTGTTTTTTAAATTGCCCTTCACAGCTCTCCAGTCACTAGCAGGATTATGAGAGCTATATTGAAATCACATTTTCAAGAACATTGTGAAGAATCCATCCTTCCTTCACATTCTTGCCAAAATACATGTTCAGTGTCCTGTGTTTCTCCTGCAAGAGTAAATGGCACTGCCCATGACATTTACCAAATCTCTTCCCTGTGACTCCTTGCTCTGCATTCAGTGTCTGAGGGTGCATCGTCCTAGTACAATCATCTGGAGTTGTAACTTGAGTATTACCCCTAACTTGTCTCCACACTACAAGTTGTAGTTTCAGACCGAATGATCCCAACTGGAGCGGTAAAGGAATAACCCAAGCCAGAGATCCCCAGATCTCAAAGCTTTTAATGGCTGATAAAATGAACTAATCGGCTACCAATAGTGCTTTAAGATTGAGGTACCTGACCTATTCAAGTACTGGACTGAGGTAATGCAATTGAGATGCATTATCTTAAGTTAAAACAACCTGTCAGTAGCTAATTCAGTCACTCAGCCAATCCAATCATTCTGTGCTGCTAATCCAACCACTCTGTATAACCCCAGTGTTGTTTTCTAATGTGATTACTATTCACTCTCCCTCCAGTTACAAGGGGTTATTATTCTGTCTTACTCCCCTCTGTGTCTGTACAGTCTAATATTTTGTCTATCCTGAAGTTAGACATCCAGGCTGGCCAGTCCCCAATGGACTTGGGTTTACCAGTCACAGCCGTCCTCACTGGGAGTGTTTGCACCAATTGTACTGTTAATGAGGAGCATTAGGGACAGCTCCAAAAAGCCAGTAACAGTTGACATAAACAAGGCAGTGTCTACACTGACACTGTGTTGACCGTACCACATTGTTGACCTCACCACTTCACTCTACACCACTTGTAGAGATAGAGTTATTTAAGTCTGCGTACCAGGACAAAGATGTCGGCAGGAGGGTAATTTCAGTGTAGACACATCTGTAGTTAGGTCAACGTAAGCGGCTTTGCTTCAGCTTTATCTATATTGTAGACCAGACCTTAGAGACAGGAAGCCAATGATTAATGCAACATTAGCACTTACAGTGCAGAACTCTGTTTAAAATCCCAAGTCAGTCACAAAACAAAAGAGCAAGTTTCAAAATTGCAAATCAGGTTTCAAACAAAATGTTCACATTTCATCCCTAGATCTCCCCATGTGCATGCCCAAGGCAGATGTGGGAACTGAGGCACAAAGAAGTGCAATGAGTTGCTTGCGGTCAGAGCAGAATAAGAGGCAGAGCTGAGCCTAGGTCTCCAGACTCTTAGACCTGTGCCTGCACCACTGGACTGCACTGACCTCAGTAGAGTGCTTTCCTGATGGGGATTTTCCCTGCCCAGGTGGAGTTGTGGGGGCCAGCAGTTAGGGAAATTATCTTTTGATTGGTAACCTTGAGTAAATTAGATCTTAGAAGCCACAAAGACCAATAGGAAACCTCCCAGTGTTACACGTGCAGGGATTTGTCCCTCTTTTTCTGCCAACAGTCAGACACTGAAGAGTTGCCACCTTTTCCCCACCTCACCTTGTCACCTATGCTGGGCAGCAGCAAATAGCCACATGAAGATGGGAAGAGAGCCTGCTCCAAAGTAACCTGGAAAGAATGGTCACTGCTTTTCTTCTGTCTGTGCCCAGGAATCAACTCATCAGCTCACGTGTCTTTTTTGGATTCTCCCTTGCAGAAAAACTCCCCCGTGGCTTTTACTGTTCGTTTGAAGAAGGGGATTGTGGCTGGACACAGGGCTCTACCACTTCTCTCACTCCTCCGTGGCAGATTGGAAATCCAGAGTACAGACACTCTCCTTCACTAGAAGGTATGAGGGATACCAACAAGCAGGGAATGAATGGCAGATATGAAGGGGGTATGCTAAAGGCAGAGCAGGGAGGCATTTTCAGGGTAGAACACACAAAAACAAGGTAAGTGCAAGTCCTGTATTTTATATTCATCTTTCAGTGAAACCAAACCTGAAACACTCTGAGCAATAGATCATTGGTTCTGTGTCTGTCATCTCGTCAGTAGGGATTGGTAGTTTATTTCAGATAAGTCTTCGCTACTTTTTATCTTCACATCGTCCTGCATCCACCTGCCAAGCCAACCAGATCGTTCACTTTTCCAGAATTCTTTATTTACTTCTTTTTAATCCTGCTTCTGCTTCCTTTCCACCCATCCATTGTTTTCTTTTTCATCCTGTAATACCTTCATTGCTCCATCATCTTTCAGTCTCCACCCATCCACATGCTACCCTCCCCTCTACCTCCTTGTTCCAACTTGGGCTCATATAAACCCATAGAATTCAGTGGTTTATATCCTGGGCAGTGAACTATCCACAGGCGGAAACATGGCATACAAGCTCCCTCCAGGAACATTTCCTCTATACAATAGTATAAATCAGAGGAAATATTTATTGCTTAGATGGAGAGTTGATAAAGGAAAACAGTGTGGATAGCAGATGTTACTCTGTATTATTACTATCCCAAAATACTTTCCAGAGTTGAATAATACACATACAAGTGAAATGTTAAGAACTAGATCTTCCACTGGTGTAGAGTTATTGAGTGCAGTGGAGCTATGCCAGTTCATAACGGTGGGTGATCTCGCCCACAATATTGCAGAGAACCAAGAAATTGAGGCATTAGTAAGGAAGGTAGAATCATAGGGTTGGAAGAGACCTCAGGAGGCCATTGAGTCCAACCCCCTGCCCAAAGTAGGACCAATCCCAGCAAAATCATCCCAGCAAGTGCTCTGTCAAGCTGGGACTTAAAAATCTCTAGGGATGGAGATTCCACCACCCTAGGTAACCAATCCCAGTGCTTCACCACCCTCCTAGTAAAGTAATTTTTCCTAATATCTCCCCCACTGCAACTTGACACCATTTCTCCTTATTCTGTCATCTGTCACCACTGAGAACAGCCTCTCTCCTTCCTGATGGAACCCCCTTCAGGCAGTTAAAGGCTGCTATCAAATCCCCCTTCAATCTTCTTTTAGAAAGTAGCTGAGAGATAGAGAGAGCAGCATGCGGAGCTAACAGTAAAGTACTCCTGCTTCATGATTTCTGTATTCTGTGGCGGTGAATTCCACCCCAGGGAAAGGAAACAGGAGTTGGGAGGGTAGAACAGAACTCTACACCATGAAGCCAGAGTTCTGTGAAACCTAACCTTTCCTCTTTTGCAGGAAATCCAGTCTCAAGTCAGGCGGAGCAAAGCCACTGAATTGTCAGCATTTTGCACCCATTGAATGTTCCCACAACCCCAGTCCTCCCTAGCTCTGTACAAAGAGAGCAAAGACTTTCCTTTTACATTTTCCTCCACCCCCTATTCCCTGTGCAAGAGTGTGTCCAGTTCATCCTGCAGTCCTTGCTATGAGTGACCTTTAGCCTAAAGGAACAGAAAGGGCTCCAGCTGCATTGCTATTAATCTGGTATTTTTCACCAGCGCAAAGATTCACTTAAAATTAAATTTTTTAACGGATGCATTTTGTTGACAATCCAAGAAAGAAAATAAATCTCACATTACACATAAGCAGAAAAATAGTGTGAATGCAGAAGATAGCCAGATCACTTAAATATGTTTCCTGAATAGGGCTCTGGAGTATGTGAAGCTGTATTGACTGCATCCAAACTAAATTGAAAAATGCCTTTTGTCAAATGGTAACCCCTATAACAGGGAGCAATTAACACAATGAAACCAGACTAGGTAAGGTTCTTAAAGGAATGTTCTGATGAGCCTTTTACAAACCTTGCATCCAGAGGTGGCAAGTGGCAACAGCATATCTGCTATTCTCTTTTTTATTTTTAATCTAGGCTCTGCTCTCTTGCTAAACACCAGCGAAGTCCCAGTGGCAGAAACGACCATCGTGACCAGCACTGTGTTTCCAGCTCCAATTAGGAATTCTCCCTGTGAGGCAAGTGCTAACGTCTCTGCTTTCTCTCAGGATGCTGTCCAAACTTGGTTTTCCAACACCAGTACTCTCAGGTCATCCAGATCTCCCATTTGATGGCTCAGATTGTCCCACAGATATGCAAATGCCTATTTTGTACATCTGCGTGCAGCACTGAGTGCCCAGGTGTGAGATCTGGATGTCTCTTAAAGCACCCACAAAATGGACTACATGAAACTTGAATGGTTTACGTTGAGATTGATCAGTCAGTGCTTTTGTTAATACACAGATGTGGCTTTAGCATCCAAAGTAACAAGAAGGGGGATAGAGAAATGCCCTGTGCCAGCAGAGCTACCTAAAGACATCCTGCCTTCAGAGATCAGAGGCAGCTGCAGTAATGCCTGTGCATTAGCAGTGTGTTTAGGACTGGCCCTAATCAGTTCTGAAGGTGTAGCATTCACCTTCCTAACCACCATCCAGTATTCAGGCCTCTGGGGCTTTATTATGCCCTATGCTAATCCTGTCACTCATTGCTTTGGCCCTGTTCTTGCAAGTGCTGAAATTAACAGAAGTTGAGGTTGCTCAGCACCTCAGAGCTGAGCCCTCTTTCAAGCAAAAGTGGCATTGGCTTTGATGGGAGACTTTCCTGAGCCAGAAATGAGTAAAGACTCAGGAAAGTAACCAGCATTGCTAAGTGAATCATGTGTAACCTCACATTTTGGTTTAGACAATTATTAATTTAAGAGATGCATGTAGATTAGATATATCACATGACCAGTGGCCTTTGCCCATATAGAGGTCGTCACATAAATATGCTGGAACTGTAGGCAGTAAGATGTGTGTAAGACATTTCTTCCCATAATCAACAACAATCATGGAAGGCTCCATATAGACGATGTTGCCATACTGTTTTATATAAATCGACAGGGCGGAGCTCAATCACACACCCTATGTACAGCGGCAATTGCACTTTGGAATTGGTGCCTAAAACCCAGTGTAATGATCACGGACGTACACCTTCCTGGCAACCTCAATACCATGGTCAGTGCTCTCAGTAGACACTGACCACTGAACACAAATGGCAGCTGAACCCACAGGTCCTCTTGTGAATCTTCCAACAGTGGAATTATCCCACCATAGACCTTTTTGCCACCCTGAACAACAAAAAGTGTCAACAAAAAAGTATTCGCTGGGAGACTCCTTCCTGATCAGTTGGCCATATCACCTCCTGTATGCCTTTTCCCCCATACATCTCATCAACAGGGTTGTCAACAAGGCGCAGACGGACAAAGCTCAGTTAGTTCTGATAGCACCTTTTTAGCCATGGCAACCTTGGTTCCCCTTTCTGCTCAAAATGTTGCACACACCACCAATTCCCTTGCCCCGCAATCCAGATCCCCTCTATCAGACTAGCTGTCCCAGTCTCCACATGCTGAACCTGAATGCTTGGCTCCTCAGTAGTTTTCCATACAAGAGCTAGAATGCTCTCAGCACGTCCAACGCATCCTGCTGCACAGTAGAACACAGAGCACTCATTAAAATATACCTTCAGAAGTGGAATAGGTTCTTGGTATGGTGTTCACATCGCCATGCTAACCTGTCCACATCTCCATTACCTTTAATCTTGGAGTATTTGTTGCACCTTAAACAAGTTGGTCTTGCCCTACATTCCATCAAGGTGCACCTTCCTGCTATAGCTACTTTTTATCTTAAAATAGATGATATCTCAATATTTGCACGTCCTCTCACTAAGCAGTTCATCAAAGGCCTGCAAGCACTTTATTCAGATGTGGTTCCACTAGCACAACCTTGGGACCTCCACCTGGTTTTAAATACTCTCACCAAAAATCCCATTTGAGCCAATGGCCACCAGCTCACTTTTGCACCTGTCTATTAAAATGGCCTTTCTTGTAGCTATTACATTGGCCAGGCAGGTAGGAGAGATTGCAGCACTCATGCCAGATCTCCCTTACACCACCTTTTTCAAAGGCAAGTTGACCTTATGCACCCATTCCAAGTTTTTGCCCAAGATATAATCTTTTCACCTAAATCAGACCATACACCTCCCTACCTTCTTTCCCAAGTCGCACACTAACTTGTTTGAATCAAACATGTACACACTTGACTTGCGCAGGGCACTTTCTTTCTATTTCAGGTCCTCTCCTAGATTGCTGTCTCCATAGCAAATCACAATAAAGGTTAAGTCATATCAGCTCAGCGACTCTTCCACTGAATTTCGGACTATATAAGACTTTGCTATTCCTTATCAGGTGTTAATGCCCCTGACTGCATAAGAGCACACTGAACCAGAGCTATGTCTACCTCAGTAGCATTTCTACAAAAGGTCCCTATAGTGTACCTTTGCATAGATGCTACCTGGTCATCAGAACACACATTTGCAAAGTGCCATGCATTTATTCAAGGAACTTTCTCTAGCCTCAAATTCCCCAAGGCTATTTTATCTTCTGCATGCATGCCAGATCCACAGTCCCTGCCTCCTTAAAGAGAGGAAGCTTTGAAGTCATCTGATGTAGAGCACCCATGGGGACATCTCTCTAATCTGCTCTTCTTCTTCCTCACCTGAGCAGTAACTGACAGATGAGTGTCCCCGTAAGCGCTCCACTATTCTCTGTTCCTCCGGTCTACTTCGGAAGTCTGGCCTCCTTTGGGCAATACAGAACCGAGGGGATGGGCTCATGCATGCATGATGCCTGCACACTAGGAACGTGAGGCTAGAGGCGGGCACATGCGCAGCTCCAGGGACACTGCTCTGAAGATTCCAGATTGAAGGCCTGGTAGCAGCGCACTGACCTGATGTAGAGTGCCCACAGGGACACTTGTTTTGAAGAATGTCAGTTACTGCACAGGTGAGTAACCGCCTCTTGCAGTTATTGGTAATAAGGAAGGAAGGAGTTTGCTGAAGGATTTTGTCTTTTGGTTTTTTAAATAGCATAAAAACCTCTGTTCTCAACATGTCCCCACGGGCTTTTTCTATTTTACTGGAATAATTTGTCTGTGATCAGAATAATTTAGTGCCACTTCTTAGCCTAATGTAAGGAGAGAAAGGAGTCCTTCCCTTCAATTTATCCTTGCAATATGTGTAAATGATCTTTCTTGTAATGGAATTATAGTTGGAAAAGTGGTTGTGAAAATAACATAAAGCATTTTGTATTTATTCCCTCTCCATTACTTCCCAATGGGGCTGGCTCAAGTTCAGACTTGAGAGAGAAATTTTCTACCTGTCAGAGCTGACAGCTCAACCTGGTATCATAGAATCATAGGACTGGAAGGGACCTCGAGAGGTCATCGAGTCCAGCCCCCCGCCCTCAAGGCAGGACCAAGCTCCATCTACACCATCCCTGACAGATGTCTATCTAACCTGTTCTTAAATATCTCCAGAGAGGGAGATTCCACCACCTCCCTTGGCAATTTATTCCAATATTTGACCACCCTGACAGTTAGGAATTTTTTCCTAATGTCCAATCTAAACCTCCCCTGCTGCACTTTAAGCCCATTACTCCTTGTCCTGTCCTCAGAAACCAAGAGAAACAAATTTTCTCCTTCCTCCTTGTGACACCCTTTTAGATATTTGAAAACCACTATCATGTCCCCCCTTAATCTTCGTTTTTCCAAACTAAACAAGCCCAGTTCATGAAGCCTGGCTTCATAGGCTTCTCTAGACCTTTAATCATTCTTGTCGCTCTTCTCTGTACCCTTTCCAATTTCTCCACATCTTTCTTGAAATGTGGCGCCCAGAACTGGACACAGTACTCCAGCTGAGGCCTAACTAGCGCAGAGTAGAGCGGCAGAATGACTTCACGAGTTTTGCTTACAACACACCTGTTAATACAACCTAGAATCATATTTGCTTTTTTGGCAACAGCATCACACTGTTGACTCATATTCAACTTGTGGTCCACTATGACCCCTAGATCCCTTTCCGCCATGCTCCTTCCTAGACAGTCGCTTCCCATCTTGTATGTATGGAACTGATTGTTCCTTCCTAAGTGGAGCACTCTGCATTTCTCCTTATTAAACCTCATCCTGTTTACCTCTGACCATTTCTCTAACTTGCTAAGGTCATTTTGAATTATGTCCCTATCCTCCAAAGAAGTTGCAACCCCACCCAGTTTGGTATCATCCGCAAACTTAATAAGCGTACTCTCTATCCCAATATCTACATCATTGATGAAGATATTGAACAGTACGGGTCCCAAAACAGACCCTTGAGGAACTCCACTTGTTATCCCTTTCCAGCAGGATTTAGAACCGTTAACAACAACTCTCTGACTACGGTTATCCAGCCAATTATGCACCCACCTTATCGTGGCCCTATCTAAGTTATATTTGCCTAGTTTATCAATAAGAATATCATGCGAGACCGTATCAAATGCCTTACTAAAGTCTAGGTATATGACATCCACCGCTTCTCCCTTATCCACAAGGCTCGTTATCCTATCAAAGAAAGCTATCAGATTAGTTTGGCATGACTTGTTCTTCACAAACCCATGCTGGCTATTCCCTATCACTTTATTACCTTCCAAGTGTTTGCATATGATTTCCTTAATTACCTGCTCCATTATCTTCCCTGGGACAGACGTTAAACTGACCGGTCTATAATTTCCTGGGTTGTTCTTATTCCCCTTTTTATAGATGGGCACAATATTTGCCCTTTTCCAGTCTTCTGGAATCTCCCCTGTCTGCCATGATTTTTCAAAGATCATAGCTAAAGGCTCAGATACCTCCTCTATCAGCTCCTTGAGTATCCTGGGATGCATTTCATCAGGACCTGGTGACTTGCTGACATCTAACTTTCCTAAGTGATTTTTAACTTGTTCTTTGTGTATCCTATCTTCTAAACTTACCCTCTCTCTGCTTGTATTCACTACGTTAGGCACACCTCCAGACTTCTCGGTGAAGACCGAAACAAAGAAGTCATTGAGCATCTCCGCCATTTCCAAGTTCCCTGTTACTGCTTCTCCCTCCTCACTAAGCAGTGGGCCTACCCTGTCCTTGGTCTTCCT